TCAAGTGTTCAGACAGAACACTGTAGGCTGGGCCACCCTAGTTAACTTTTCTGTTGCTGTGAAGAAACATCATGCCAAAGCAACTTGGGGGAGACAGGGTTTGTTTGACTTCCACTTCCGTATCACTGCTCATCCTGGAAGGAAGTCAGGACAGAAACTCAAACAGAGCAAACACCCAGAGGCAGGAGCTGGTGCGGAGACCATGGAGGAGTGCTGCTTATTGGCTTGCCTTTCATGACCTTCTCAGTCTGGATTCTCATAGAACCAAGGAGCACCTGTGCTGGGATGGAACCTATAGTGGACTGGACCCTCCCTCCTCAATCACTAATTAAGCCCTACAGGCTTGTACACAGCCCAATCTTATGGAGGCATTTTCTCAATCGCGGCTCCCTCCTCTCAGAAGACTTTAGCATGTGTCAAGTTGACCTCAAACTATACAGCACATGGGCTGACCAAGCAGTCAAGAGTCCAGGCTTGAGCACTGGTAGGCTGTCATGACCACTTAGAGTGTATTTATTTCATTCCTGATGAGGACCCCCAGAAACGGTAGCGTGGTTTTATGCTCCTGAAAGATGACCCTAAAAGAAACATGCTGGGTAGATTGGGGAAAAAAGATGGTGGAAAACAGGGTAAAGACACATTGACAGGGATCTCGGAAGGCCCTTGTGGTAAGGTTGCTTTGTGTCATTCTGACTAAACACCGATGAGAACAACTCAAAAGAAGGAATGATGTATTTTTTCTTCACTCCAGGGTTAGCTCAGTTCGTGGCTAACTTCTTTCCATGTGCTAGAGCAGAGAGCTTCATGGCAGCAGGAGGGTATGGTAGAGGAGATTCTTCACTTCATGGCAGCCAGGAAAGGGGTGGGGGGCTGGGACATGCTATTCTTGTGCAGTATTTCCTCCAACTGAAGCATTCCATCGCTGATGGAAACTCTTTAAGACTCAGGATGTTCTAAAGGGAGGGTCCTCAGGATTCAGGAAGTAAACAAGTCACAAGTTTTAGGAAGTCCCTGAAACTTACCCGATTCCCAAGGTTTCTCCTTCCACAAGGCTAGGGATATTTGAGGAGTGATTTCTCCAACCTTTGGAGCTGCCTGCCACCTACGCAGACAGCTTTAGGGTTCCAGCTTTTGTGGGTCAGCACCCATATTGTGGTGGGTTCCCAGTGACAAAACGGCTCTTAAGTTATCTCTGATCCCCACACCTACTCCTGTTAGGGACCTCCGTATAAACTTGCTTATTATCCAAGCTGGACTTCCATGGCATCCTTCCCTTGGTCTGTAGCTAGTTTCTGGCTGGGCTGAAAATTCCCCAGGAATAGTGTGGCAGAAGACCTCTCAAAGACCAGTCGATAAGGACCCTCTTCCCCCAGCAATCCTAACATCTTCAAAATAGCATCCCACACGTAAGCTTGTGGGAGACATTTCATATTCAATTAATAACTGACCTGAATCAGAGAAACATTTGGGAGGACAGGTGGCTTAGATCACAACAGAGGAGGAAAAGGTACAAAAAAAAAAGTAAAATTAAAAATAATTGCTCCTGAATTACATGGTATAAATGTTATGCCAGTTTAGGGTGATAGTTAATTTTATGTGTTAATTGGGCTCATTAAGGATGGCTAGTGGTCTGAGCAAAAACTTTATTTATTTGTTTATTTGAGGCAGGGTTTCTCTGTACCTTTGGAGCCTGTCCTGAAACTCGCTCTGTACAACAGGCTGGCCTCGAACTCATGTAGATCTGCGTGTCTCTGCCCCCTGAGTGCTGGAATTAAAGGAGTTGCGCCACCACCGCCCAGTAGGTCAAACTTTTTTTTAAACATTTATTCATTTATTTATTTGATGTAAGTGTCTATGTAGATAGGGGAAGGAGATGACAGAACACATGTATTGAAGTCAGAAGACAGCTTGAGGGAATTGGTTTTCTGCTTCTACCATGTGGGTTCTGAAGATGGATCTAAGGTCACAAGGCACGGCGGTAGGCATTGTTACCACCCCACCCACTCCCAGACATCTGGCGGGTTTGGTCATCTGGCTGGATGTTTCTGCGGAGGTTCTTTGGGATGAGTTCAAATGGGTTGGACTTTGAGTGGCTCAGCGTATCCTCATCAATAATGCAGACGGTCTCTCACCCAGTCAGCAGAGAGTCTGAACAGAACAAAGAAACAAAGAGTGACTTCCTCTGAGCAAGAAGAAATTCTGCCAGCAAAAGCCCTTGATCTCAGAACACAGCTCAGTTCTCGGCCTCCAGCCTGTGGGCTAACTGCACGGGCTTTGGGACTGGCCAGGTTTCAACTATGTGGACAATTTCTTAAAATCTCCCCTCTCCCTTTCTCTCTATTCTAACCCGTCTTCCTTTTCACTTATAGATAGGGTTTTGTGTATGTGTATCCAATCAATTATGGGTCAAAACTATTGAGAAAAAAAAGTGCCTATCTGGACAACATTCCCTAATGCAATGTAAACAACCATTTATACAACAGTTACAGGTGCTAAGCATTATAAGTCATCTAGAGATGAGTTCAGGTATATGGGAGGTTGTGGGTACATTATATGTAGACAAGAGACTCTGGCAACCATGGAGTTTGGCTTCTGCAAAGATTCTGGAACCATCCCCCTTATGTAACATGCCTCTTGGTCTTGTGTCTCTGGAGAGTGTTAATGAATATTTCATCACTAAAGAAGCTAAAAGCCTGTGTCATAGGTTTAGGTCCTGGTTCTGCTACTTCATGTCTAGAAAATTCTGTTCAGGGCACACAACCACTTTGAATTATCTTACGTAAAATGACTCTTAAATGATCTTCCAGTCCATGAGACTGTTGTGTTCAGAACCAGGCCTAAGTTGAAACTGGAGCCCTAGAGTTCAGACTGACTCTCTGGTACATACCCTGCAGTAAACCTAAGGGCAAAATGCCTCTTCAGGATCTCTTGCCTCCCCATAGGCCCGTCTCAGAGTCGAGAGCAAACAGCAGAGGGAACGTTGGACAGAAAAGTCTAAGTCTTTTAAGGATGGAGTCATATAGTTTTTAATCTTCTCTTTCTCTTTATTTTTCTTGGGCTCTCGTGCTGGGGCTGAGAACCAGGGACCTAAACAATTCCCAATAAAAGTTTAATGAAGGCGTCAATATTTGTTTAATGATACAGATAGGGCAGTCCAGCAAAGATGATAAGCAAATAAATACTCTAAATAATCAGTCTGCCAACAGAAATTCTGCAGACTGAAGGGATATTTGTTGCCCTGCTATGCAGAGAGAAGAGCTTGCCCTAGAAAGAGGTCAGTAAAACCTCTTTTGTAGGGTGTACAAGAATGGAATGTATGTAGTCTACACTGGACTGTTTATAATTTGTAGTCAAAGTCAAGGTCTGGCTCCTTGACATTGGAACAAATTCATGCTATAAAATGCAAAATCCAAAGTAGAAAAATGTTTTTCTGAAAAGGTCCCTCCTTTGACATCCATTCCAGAAAGGAAAATAATTCTAAAGAGTTATTTTATTACTTTCTAGATGTGTGTGAATATCACTCTGCTGTTAGATTTGTAGCTTAGAACGTGTAATAGCGAATTCACCTTTCCTTTTATTTTAATGGTGGCTTAAACTTCCGGATCACACAGCTGGACATCCCCTTCCTCTAGGGACCGAGTCAGAAGAGAGAAGAACAGCCTTCCCCTCCCCCACACTGGCGTGTGAGGAGGGAAGGGGACCGTGGGTGACTGGCCTGTCCAGTGGTGGGTAGGCCCTCTCATGCTGGGCTTACACTCAGCTAGGACTGAGTTCACGAGATACTTCTTCTGAAATCAATGTGTGACTATTGGTCACTTGTCAACTTTGTTTCCAGAAGCCTGCATCAAGGGGCAAATGGAAAGGGATCTGTCTCCCCTTCATTGTTCAGAACTATGCACCTATTTTTTTCTTTTTAGATGTATTCTATTGGGGGATGTAGAGTATGAAAAATAAATTTAAATTTTATTTCTATGCTAAAAGACATAAAGGGGAAAAGATCTAATCTGTGATTCTCTTACTCTAAAAATCTTTATTATTTTATAAAAATGAAAATAACTACTTTTTAACAATAAAATGCAAACAATACATGGCTGTGTACATTTGAGGTTTTCTCCCTCACCCAATTGCTGTTGTCCCAGAGGTTCTTGTTAGTGATTTCTTTAATATCTTTTCAAGAAAAAAAAAGGCATTCCAGTTTATCTTTCTTTTGTTTTAAAGAAGAGTTATGTTTATTTAGGTGTATGTCCATGTGTGTGCAGGTGCAGCAGACAGGGAGGGGCAGAAAAAGACATTAAAACCCTTGAGCTGGGGTTACAGGCAGTCATGAGCCACCCAAGATGGAAGAGCAGGGAGCACTCCTAACAGCTGAGCTGTCTCTGCAGCCCCAGCTTATTTTTAAAGATACACAGAAGCTGAATTACAGTATAGTCTCTTCTGCTCCTGGATGTTTCTCCCAATGCTACAGCTCACTGTTTCCTTGGCCAGCACAGAGATCTGACAAGTTCTTTTTTATAATAAACCTAGTCTTATGTCCTCTAACAGTATCCCAGCCTGGGCTGTCACTTGGCTGGTAGAGTTCTCCCTTCCTGCGCTTGAGCTCTGGGTTCAGTCCCCAGCACCAAGGAAACCAGAAGCTGGGGCTCCCAGGATGCCAGAATTTCAGAGTCTTCCTTAACTACAAAGTGAACTCAAGGACAGCCTGAGCGATATGAAACAGTTTCTAAGTAAGTAAACGCATGATGAAAGTATTCCAATGTATTTGTTTAACCCATTCCTTGCTGGCAGGCTTTTGCAGCATTTGTTTTGCTATTAAAATAAATACCCTTCGTCGAGTAGTCTCTTATGACACCTTGCCGTCATTAACAACCAGGGCTAATGCATACAGAGGCAGAAGCAGTACCCGGTACACAGTGGGCACTATTCACTGTAGATCTCATAACTTTAAGTACTTATTATGATTACTTGATGGCAGGTGGACATAAAATCTTTTCTCGAAGGAGTTCCCTTTCCTAGTTTCCCCAGTGCACCACGACCTTGGGTAGAGAACTCTGTAAGAACCACTGGTCTAAGGGCACTCACACGTGGACTTTTGGCGGCTGTTGTCCACTTTCCCTGCTAAAAGCTTGCATCAGTAGGCCCTGATTCTGCCTAGGGTAGAGCTTCGTTCCTAAAATCTAAATCTTAAGTTGTGTTAAGTCATAATCAACCGTCACTTCCCTGAGCTTATAAAAAGAGAGAGAGAAAAGGAGAGAACAGAGTAACAACCAACAACAAAGGCCCCAAATCCCAGTGTGTGTGTGTGTGTGTGTGTGTGTGTGTGTGTGTGTGTGTGTGTGAGAGAGAGAGAGAGAGAGAGAGAGAGAGAGAGAGAGAGAGAGATTTGCACATTGCTACCCTCCTGTCCTTCCTGGGCAATGACCAAAAATGAACCCCTGGAAGGAGTGTGCACCATCAACCGACCAAGGAGGCTGTTCTTGGTCCCGGGGTTCCTAGGATCCAGGCCTTTGGTTCGTGAACACCTGTTGGCAATGGCCTCCTGGGTTTTTGTTTTGCTTTGTTTTTTCGGGAGATCTCAGATAACCAATCCTGGGAAAAGAGCAGCAGTGCTGTGATGGAGTTGTGATGGGAGAGGGGCATTATGGGATTGAATATGGTGAGCTCAAGGATGCCTGTTACGGGGTACATAGAGGAATGCTGTCCTGTTGGTGTCTCCCTCTTACAGAAGGATCCACAGTCTCAGTAAGGGGGTGGACGGGCAAGGACAACGGGACACCTTGTAAAACACTCTGGGTTCTGACTTAACTGCTTTCTTGGTCAAACAGCGTCAGACATGGCTCTCTTGTCTCATGATGTCTTTGTTTGTGCTCATATGGAACTTTATTGGTTCAGCCATTTAAATGTGAAATTGAAAGGAAAAGGACAGTCCTGGGGGTGTGGGGAGGTTGCTTTAAGAAGGAGGATGTGAGAGCTGGGGATGTGAGTTGGAGGAAGAGCGCTCGCCTTCACCTTCGATAGGCCCTGGATTCAATCCCCACTACTGATAAAAAACAATGCATTTTAAGGCCAGGTGCGGTGGTGCATACTTGTAACCCCAGTGCTTGCGAGACCGAGGTAGGATGATCAGGAGGGTATTCTCAGTAGCCACACAGTGAGTTTGGGACTAGCCTTGGCTATATGAGACCCTGTCTCCAAAAAAGCAAAACCAGTCATGAATAAAAAAGGGGGGGGGTCAGTGGCTAAAAGTAGTTCACTTGCTACTAAGCGTGATGATTTAAATTTGATTCCTGGTGAAGGAAAAAACTGACTCCAGGGCTTCTGACCCGACACAGCCCCCAGTGAGTAAATAAATAATGTAACTTTAAAATTTAAAAACAAAAAGGACAAGTTAAGCACTGTTGAAAATAGACTTAATAGAGAAACAAGGAAGAAGACAGAGAAGGCTGTGAGAAAGACTCCGCCCTCCGCAGTGACCAGCTGGTCAAGGCAGAGGCCATGCTGAACCCCAAGATCCCAGCCCCATTAGCCGACTTTGAAGCTTTGAGGGAGGCCCCTACTCACAATGCCTCTGCTTCCCCACTTGTCCCAAGGGCAGAGAATCACACCCTCACTCCAGGCTGGAAGGTCAAAACCCTTTAGGATGCTAAGGGCAGAGGGGAACGTGCACACAGACACGGCTGCGGCTAGCTCTTTCCTGTTGGCGCTGTTGGTCTGCTTTCTGTTGATCCACACAAAAGCACAGCAGCTTGCGTCCAGCTCAGGCAGCAAGGAAAACACACCACAGGAGTCTTCCGAGTGTGCAGAACCACGTGCCCTATATTGTCTCCAGCAATTAGCAGGGGGCAGAGAGTCTACAAAAGGCCTTTTTGTACTCTCTCTAATCTGCCCAGTGTTTCGTCTTCAAGGACGAAATACAGCTCACTGTGCATTTCGGGTTTTCTTAAAGGATAGCGGTGCTCCTAGAGTTAGCGGTCCTCGCCAGTCATCGGGATGAGCCGTTCATAGGGATGAGCACAGAGGGAAACCAGGCGCCCTGGGCTCCTCACTGCATGGCTCAGGTGAGGCCACTCCAAGAAGTTTCTGGATTCCATCTGTTCTGCTTGGTTTGTGGTACAACACAGGCTGTTGATCTGTATGGGTTTAACCAGAAGGACTAAAAGGTGACTATGTAAATTCATGATTACTTCTGGGAAATAGGAATACTGGAGATCCTGTGGGCATGATGGACTAGAACTCCTCTCTCCTCCTCTCCCCCCTCCCTCCCTCCCTCTCTCCTCCTTTCCCCCTCCCTTCCTTCTCTCCCTCTGCCTTCTCTGCTAGTCCTGGGGATCGAACTTAAGGCCTCCTACACGGTAGGTAAGTACTCTACCACTTGAGCTACGACCCCAGGACTCTCCTTTTAGGCCTGTCATTTACATGTATTGTATACTGCCTTTATTCCTGGGCCGCGTGCTCCTCTAGGATGTCCTTTGCTTCCACGTCACCCCCTCTTCTAGCACGGGAGCAGTCTGTCCCTTTTCAGCCAAGATCTTCTCAATGGGGCAGCAGAGTCCACACACGAAGGGACTCTGGCCACAGGCTCTGTGAGGATGGGGCACACAGTGGGGGCTTTGTTTGCCTGGGTTTGCTCAGTACTGAAGACTGTAGTAGTTGGGCATGGTGAATTCCAGGCCAGTGTGTGTCCTGGAGAGAGGGGTGGGGAGGGAGGGAGGGAGGGAGAGAGAGAGAGAGAGAGAGAGAGAGTGCTCTCTTGGGCTCCCGGAGTGCTGGGTTCTGTGCCAGCCTGGCGATCTGGCCTCCTGCACCTGTTCAGGGTGTTGTGACCATAGGTGACACACTGGCTCTCAGGCATTTGGTGGATCACTGGACATGAATACTTTAGTGGCCTGGGCAGTTCCCAGTATTCTTAAGGGGGAGGTTTCAATTTCTCGGTACTTTCGGCAGTGCAGGGTTTTCTAGGGCAAAGGCGATGCCAGTGCGAGGGCTGGGAGTTATTAACAATGGTCGTCAATCAAGGAAGGCAGGAGAGTAGAAGGGGGAGAAGTGGGACAAGGACACAGCTGAGAGCCTCTTCCTGTTCAGCTTGCAGAACTCTGTCTGGGGGAGCGAGGGCCGTAAGAGACTCCCGCGTCACTATGCATGTTTGGAACTGAGGGTGAGCCCAAGCATCTTTCTGTGGCCTGCATTTCACTCCAGATTGGAAGCAACGACCATCACTTTCTTACTAAAGCACACACATCCAGGGCACTGGGGAGGAGACCAGAGGTCAGGTGGGCTGGGGTGTGGAGACTAGCCACGGTTAGATACTTGCCTGGCTGGTATCGACGAGACTCCATCTTGGGACTGCTTTTTTTTCCCCCCATGTGCCCTCTTTCTGATCAGTTTGGATGCAGGTGGCCTTCCTTTACAGTGGATTTCCTGAGCCTCTGCCCTTTGCTTCTCATGGTTCTTAATCAGCAACTTCTATGGCATTTTCCCTTGTGATTGGCAGGGACACCGTGTAGCCCACCTTCTGTCCTCTCCTGGTGGGCTCTCAGGGGGCAGAGTGAGCATTGCCTTCACCTGCTGAATAGCCTGGTATAGAATAGGAACAATTAAACCCTTGATGGCTGAAGCTTGAATGGATGAATGGGAAGGCAACAAGGGCTCTGCCACAGCGCTCCATCCCGGCCCCTTCCCTCTTTTTAGGAGTGAAAGTCTCTGACAAGGCTTGGAGTAAGATGAGAGGCAGGAAACCCTTCTTTGAGATGCATTTCTGACTGGACACTGCACACATAGACAGGAAGCTCTCCTGTCAACGCTGAACGAAAGAGAAGCCATTTTGACAGGTCATTTGTCTCCCGGTTTTACAGGTCCAAATGGCGAGTGAACTGTCTATTGATCTGATTTGCCTTTTTCATCAGTGACACAGGGGAAATAATGACTTTTGGTGGCTTATTTTTCTAATGGTGTCAGCCCCTGTGTATCCCTGACAAAACGAAAATGTCAATGGAGAACAAAAAGAGAGCTCTCAAATAATCAGATTAAATTATTATAGTGTGCTATTTCTTAAGGGCAGCATGTTATCTGAATATCAATATGTGACATTCAAATTACTAGACAGACTTTTCTAATTCCCAGAATCTTACAGTGGCGTAAGGCTCAGGGAGAGGAGTCCTGGGTTCTCTTGGACATTGCGTCTTGATAAACAGTCTTTACGAGTTGGCGCACACTGTGTTGTGAACACGCGGAGTCTTTGTCCCATCCATGTCCTTGTGACCACTGTGTACGGGGGCCAGGGCCAGACCACTGCTGGCTTTCTCGGGGCTCCCAGTGACTACTGCTAGTTTCAGCTCCGATTTCCCTGGTGGCTTTAAGCAGACAACGAAGCAATGCAGATTAGTCTTCCCTCTGGCAAGAGAGAGGACATTATACTCTATCAAATGTGTTTAATTTGGATACAGTGTAACAGCAGAGAGAAGGGATTCTTAACAGGGTAGCAGCTGGGGCTGGAGACATGGCTCAGTGGCAGGAGGCTTGCTAATCACAGGCGAGGACACTGTTCCTCTGTGTCTCTGTCCATACAGGGGTGGAGACTTCTTTTCTGGTCTGCAGTGTGTAGTCACAGTGCACAGCCAGGCTGCTCTTCACTGGCTTCCTCTGCCCCTGGTATAATCCTGTCTAGTACTAAGTGTTCAGCATCCAGATGATGCCTTTAAAAAATCTATTCCTACTCTCGCAGATGTCTCTGAACGGATTGAAGCTAATTTGGAAGACCTGAACTTGCAAGTCCACAGGATTTCTGATTTCATGTAGGCATACTTTGATTCCTGTGATTACCTCCTAGGTTCCGGTGGGTGGGGGAGGAGGCGGCACCACTGTGCACCCCAGAGCTACCCCTCCCCCGTGCCATCCACTCAACCCGTCCCTCCACACCCCCTGCGCTATTTCTATCCTTGCCCTATTGAAACTGCATCTCAAAGGTCAACTGTGGTATTCTCAAAGTCCAGTCCAGAAAGGGTTTTGTTTTATCTCCATTTTTCTTTACTCCGGACCATCGATTTCCTTTCTCCTCCTCTGATGTACTTATATGGTTTATATTTATCCCCCTATCTATGACCTAATTGGAGTTTTTAAACTGGTCCTTGGCATAGCAGCATCCCTTCTGGGAGTCCAAGCCCTAGCATGGGCATGCCTGTAGTGGGGTTCTCACTCTGCCTCTAACTGTATAAAAATGAGGACAACAGGAGGTATTGTTCCCTTGGTTTGGTGTCAAAATTAAACAGAATAATCGAAGTAATATTTACTTTAAGGCTTAGCATGAGGAAGTATTCATGAACGGTACCTGTTAGCAAAACAGGCCCTCAAATCTGTGAAAACAGACTGCCTCCCTCTTACCCTTGCCCCTTTAAGGTCATTTTGCCCTCCTCATCCCACACAGGGCCAGTCAATAAATATTTGCATCAATTTAGAGTCGTGCACGTGGTGGCAGAGTTCAGGGAAGGAGAAGCGATACCGAGGGAGGCTCCAGAAGGCTGCAGGAGCGGTCTAAGCCTCGTTGTTCAGTTTTTAACTAATAAATGATTTAAGTTGTTGAGTATTTGAATCGCTCCTTTCCGGACATATGGCGTTTATTGAGCAAGAGGCGGCACTAGCAGTTAAAATACTTGTTAGTGCGACAGTCAGTTATAAGTCTGCAAGATTAAATTCTGCTCTAACTGGATTATGTCGGGAGAGGCGACCAGAGCCCTGGAAGCTTTGACTGAAAGAACGGCGCCATCTACTGGCGATATGGAGAAATGACGCCGGGCGGTACGGGTCTTGGTTGGGGGTAAAAGTCCTCAGAATAGTCATTCTTTCTGCAGAAACTGTGGGCGGGACTGGACAGGAGGAATTAAAAAGGGCGGGCACAGCAACCAGCACGTAAGAGATGCTTCTGTAATGTAGAGGCGGAAAGAGCACAGCACCTTGGATCGGCGGGCGAGCGACAACCTTGTGGGTGTCATTGTTGGAGAGCAGTCCCCTCCGTGTCTTGTCCGCCGTTCTCCCCCACCCCCCACCCCAAGCCTCACCACCTCGTACTCACAGATCCCCTCTCCTATTGGTTTCACTTTCCTATTCTCTGCTGGCTCCAAATTCCAAGACGACCCTTCTTCACCTTCTGGCTCCTCTTTTTGTATGGAAGGAAACTAGGGCTGGGGAAATCGCGCTGAGTCACCACATTTGGCGGCCAGTCCAGAACAGCTGGAACAGAGTGCCTCCTGAGGGGTCACAGGCCAGCCTCCACCCCTACAACAGCAAGTCTTCACGTGACAGCCACCCCAGGAGCCAGGTAAGGTGACTGCAGATGTCTCAACCCTCACTGAGCAGATGTGCAGGCGCCCTGGTTCCCACATCCATCCTGGAATGTGCCCAGGCCACTGGCGTTGGAGGGAGTTGAATTCCAAGAATGTTGCTACCTAGTGATGTTTCTTTTGGAAGATGGCAATGGATCATAACACACCTGAAAGCCATTTATTATGTTTCTCTATTAAAAAAACTATGCAAATCGGTCAGTAGCTGGGTTATAGAGCGTTATGTTTTCGCAGAGAGTTTTAGTGTAGGAAGGCCTAAGGAAAAATATGAATGCTTCAGACGGAAGTGTCTGCACCCTTGGTCAGCTCACAGGGAGTTGGTTGTCTAGGAGTTTTGAGGTTCAGACGGTGACTACATACAGACTGTGAGCCAGTAGAGGTGCTGCACAGCTTTGGCCTGCAGATCCTGAAAAATAAAAAATATTTTTTGTTTGTTTTTGAGAAAAAAGGAGTAGGGGTTTCAGAATTTTGAATTCAATTGCTGGTTGAGTTTGGATGAGCTATTTTGTAATATCCTAAGCCCCAGGGTTTTACTTTTTTCTCTAAAAGGAAGAAAATGAAGCCTGCCTGTCAATAAAATGCAGAAATTAAATGAACTACAAAAAGAGTTCTTTTATTTGAGCTGATGGGGCTGGATTTAGTTAATAAAGAAGTTGGTTAGAGACTCATGAAAGCTAATGCCGCCAATATGTCCCCTGAAGTACAAGTTTCCTACTAATTCAAGGTGTGGCCTTTTCTTTTAATATGGATCCACTAGCTGACTTTTTGAGTTGTTTTCTTATGTGCAGTGCTGTGCAGTTTTTAGCTCTGATTTGTTTTACTCTAGCAAGAACTTAAACTTTCTAAGTTACCCTAGAAACAACATTTCAATTCAAAAAATCACTCCAGAAGACATGATTTTCCTCAAACTTTGTCTGTCTGTACACCTAATTACACAGCATTATTCTAGCCACTTCCCGTCATGAAGTCATCCTAGATCATCTATCTAACTTGGCTTTCAGGGAGCGATTTCCTCTCCTTGTGTACTCGAACACTTTGAGGTGTTTGATCCCTTGCACACCGATAAACAATTAAGTAAACGAATTAATTTCACAGTTGCAGTAACAGGTGTGGCTGTGACCTGCTTCTTGGAAAGCATGCTCCCCGCATGGAGCAGCAGGAGAGAGCAGTGTCACCCCTGCAGTGGGTGACAAAGTTTGCATGGGGCCCAGAGAATCACAGTTAACCTTCAGCCCAGGCCAAACAGACGGATTTAGGGCTTCCCCACACTTGACCTAAGGCCTCGCAAACAGAAGCGCCTCCACTACCGTCTGTATCTATCCGTATTCTTATCATAGCTAATGAGTTCGGAGTTCGAAGGGGAGTCTGAAATCTAGCAGTTTTCCCTATCATTTTATAGACAAGGAAAAAAATACAACTGTAAGCTGGGTCATTGTAAAATGCCTCGTGGTTTCAGTACGCATACAGGTGTTCATCCTGAAGCTAATGTTTGTTCTCAGAGAGTTATGCTGGTGAAGGTGTTAGATTGCTGGGAAGGCTTCTCGTACTCCATCCATGGCTTTTCTGTAGGACTAGACAGAACCACGACGTGTTGATGGCCTTGGGGGTAGCGAAAACCTTGACCCTGGGCATGGCGCACACTGAGAACACATCCAGAGGCGGTGGCTGCATTAAGCAGTGTTTAAAAGGGATAAAACAAGCATCAGCCAGACTCTTGTCTTCAGCTTGAGGTGTCTATTCTATACCTCCTCGGACCCCTAGCCCAGGTCTCACTAAGCTCACCGGTAAAGCCTACCTCTAGTAGGCAATGGCTGTTTAGAGCCTATGGGAAGAGCAAAGTGACCAGGACTCTGTGTTCTTCATTCATTGGCAGTTTGTTTACCGTGTTCCTTTCAGACAGCTCGTGTTGTCTCAGGTGGAGATAACTCTTGGGTTTTGATTGGGTAGGGCGTAAAGGTCACAGCTGCTGGAAGGAAGCCACTGGTACAGAGGGCGCTGCTGACACCAGGGCTTGTGCGATGCCTTTAACTCTGAGTTTGCTTTGCTTACTTATCTGTCTTTAGTTTTTGAGGCAAGGGATTATTCTAGATTTTTCTAGAGCCTAGACCTTTCTGGGACTCGTGGCCTTTCTGCTTTTGCCATCTGAAAGCTTCGAGGGTAAGTGTGCACCACCGCACCCTGTTTGCTTCTTCTTCTCACTTGTTCTTATTTCATTTGTTTGGAGACAGAGTCTCTCCGTGTAGCCTGGGACGGTGCCCTGGAACTCACTTGTAGTCTAGCCTGGCCTTGAACTTGCCCTCCTCCTGCCTCTGTCTCCTGAGGGCTGGGATTACAGACGTCATTTTGATTTTAAAGGAAATTTTAATAATAGCATTCTGCCTAGACAAGGTAACTCATACCATTAATTCCAGTACCAAGGAGACTGAGGCAGAGGGATCTCAAGTTTGAAGCTAGCTTATACTACTTAGGTAGCTGAAGACCAGCCTGAGCTATATCTTGAGACTTGCTTTTTAAAAACAGAGGGTTGGGGCTTTAGGCCAGTGGTAGAATTCTTGTCCAACATGTACAAACCCCTGCACTTGCTCTCCAGTACTGGGAGGGGGAAAAAGCATCCTAGAATCTAAGATCACTGCATGCTAAGATCATGCTTTTTTACTGGGCTACATCCTCAAGCCCTGGACTGATTTTAATTTTATCTTCACAATTATCTTAGTTCATGTCTTTTGCTAATAACAAAGCACCAGAGACGGGATAAGTAATAGATTTGGGCTCTTGGTTCTGGTTCACAATTAAAGGACTCCATCAATGGATCGTTTTCTTGATGACAGAGTCCTGAAGTGTTGCGGAAATATCCCCAGTGGGATATCAGCTCAACAAAATGGATTCGACAACAGACTCACCTTTGTGATAATATTAACCCATTGGTCCTTTGATCACATGGTTTACTAGTGAGGGCAGAGGCTGAGTCAGCTCACAGTGAGCGTTAAATTTCAGTGTGAGTCTGGGATGGCTAAACCACGTTCAAACCATAGCAACCGTGAATGTCAACGTGCTGCAGAAACACACGCTGCAATTCTTTACTTTCTACAAGGATCAACTTTCCCCTCTCTCAGAACACGACCCAAGCCCTTCTGCGACTTCTGGGGTCTCTCCTGAGGTATGGCCTCAGTTCCAGGGAGCATGCCAATCTTGGGGTTAATTGTGAGTTCAGCGATTCATGTACACTAGTGTGTGTTTAGCGATACCAAGAGTCTCGGACAGAAAATGTGACACTCAGGCCCTGGACTGCCTGAGATGCTGGCCCAGCAGTTCTGAAGTGGGCCTGGGTTCTGACAAGCCCCAGAAATGCTGATGCGGAAGGCTCCCCTATCAGTGTGGAAATCACTTTTAAGCTTGAATTCAAGATCAAGACACACTCTGGACGGTGGTCTGGCTGCTGGCAGGAGGTTGTAGCTCTGGTCTCATGAGGGGAAACAGGGAATGCTGGAGAGGGTTTGCTAGAACAAGGGGCAAGCTAGAGCAGCACCTGTGAGTGCCTCTCCATGCACAGGTGCTGTGTCTTCCAAGAGGGGCCACACAACTTTCCTTCACTTTGTTCTGCTGGGGGAACATTCCATGACTTCGAATTCTAGTCCTGCCTGTTAGGACCAGGGCTGCTTGGTTTCTGAAGCTGGGGGAAGCCACCTTAGTTGGCTAGCATCCTCTATGCCCCAGTTGCTCTTGCGAAAAAAAAGTTGTGCCTAAGAAACAAGGAATAGCTTGTTTTCTTGCCCAGAGGAGAGTAGCCCAGTTATACTTTATTTTGCCATGGGACACAGATGCCAACTACTCTACAATGAGGCTCATGGTCTCCTCACTGCGCAGGCTCCAGACTATCAGATTTGTGCTTTTTCAAGTTACCAGTAACCTGCCTTCATCAGGGGTCTATTGACACTAACCCAGAGTGTCTTACCCAAGGAGAAACAGGGTCTAGTCAAACATAAAGTTGCCTGGAAAAAACCCCACAAACAACCATACATTTCTTTTGTTGCTTTCTACTTTGCCTCAGTGTGGGTCTGTAAGTTTCTACATTCTGGAGGGGACAGCCTTTCAATGCTGTGATCTCTTTCTTTCAGGCCCCAGGCTAGTGGTAGCTCAGTACCACGGGGGGTGGGGTGGGGTGGGGGGGCTGACTAGAAATACAGATTACTAGGCCACCTGCCTGCTCCAGTGCACAAAATCAGGAACTCCGAGGACTGGTTCTGGAATGTGTGTGTTTTAATAAGCTCTCCCAGGCAGTTCTGCTGCATGCTCACGTGTGAGAACCGCTGGACAATGTGAAATCCTGTGGGGGGGGGCGGGGGGTTGCCTTCAATTCAATCAAGAGACCTAGTCAGGTGACTGATGCAAAGAGAGACTGAGGGGTGTGTGTGTGTGTGTGTGTGTGTGTGTGGTGTGAGGGTACATGTGGTGTGTGTGTGGTGTGCGGGTGCGTGTGTGGTATGTGTGTGTGTGTGGTGTGTGGTGTGTGGGTGCGTGTGGAGGTCAGAAGTTGACATTAGGGGTCTTCAGTTGCTTGCCACCTTATTTTTTGAGACAGGTTTCTCACTGAACGTGGAACTCACAATTTGGTTAAACTGGTTGGCTAGCAAGCCCCAGGAAATCTTCCTCTTTCTGCCTCCCGAACCCTGGGATGACAAGGGTGTTCTGCCATGCCTGGCTTTTCTGTGGGTGCTGGTGTAACTAGGGGTTTCTCTCCTGCCCGTCAGGTCTTGAATAATTATTCTGAGGCTTAATATTAATTATAAACTACTTGGTTTATTAGCTCGGGCTTATTATTAACTAGCTCTTACAAATTAAGTTAACCCATTTCTATTAGTTTATATTTTAACATGAGACTTGTGGCTTGTTACCTCACATCTTGCTTTCCTGGTGGTTGCTGGTGGCAGCCTGAATCTGTCTTCTTTTTCCATTTATCTTTTTTATTTTGATTTCCTGCCTGGCTCTATTCTGCCTGGCTATTGGCCAAGTCAGTGTCTTTATTAACCAATGGTGATAAAACATACATCATACAGCAGGACACCCACATCATGCCAGATTCAAATGCGGCCTCTCATCTTGTACAGCAAGCTCTTTCCTGACGGGGCCATCTCCTCATCTCCATTTTTCTGATGTTTAATTTTAGTTCCCATTGTAGGGCAGGGAGATCTGTTGACCAGTGATAAAGGAGAAATGGGGCCCAGAGCCTAGGGTATGAAGTGGTTTTTTTTTTTTTTGAGAACTGCATGAATGAGTGTTGCGTGTCTATCTCTCCCATCCCTCCCACCCCTAACTCCTCTTGTGTTGTGGCCCCCACTGTCCCTCCAAAATCCATGCTCTCTAATTATTATTGTCGCATGTCTATACATATATGTACACACATGTACAACCTACTGAATCCTCTTAGTATTGCTCACGGACATGCATCCAGGGCTGACATGTATATTTGTGTTTCGGACAGGGATTGGACAACCCAATAGTCACGAGTCCCTGGAAGAAATAGCTTCTCCCTGATCAGAAGCATTGGCCACTGAAGTGATTACTTACATTGTTCTATTATTAAATAAAACTCAGGAGTCAGATATTGGGGTAAATACCGCATAGATCCAAAGAGCAGCGGAGGAAAGATCCGCTGACCCTGACTCTCTACGTTTCCCCAGATTGAAAAAAAAATTGCACATCTTCTTAAAGCCCTCCCAGCTATTTCCTATATCCCCATATCTCAGTCCTCCAAAACCATCATGGCTAATTCTGATCAACCAATTGACTCTATTCTCTGATTCGAGATAAACTTTATTGGCCATCTTGGAGTGTCAGTGTGAACAATTACCTCACAACAGGGCACTGTGGTAGTTTGAATGTAATTGGCCCCCATAGTCTCATGGGGAGTGGTACTATTAGGAGGTGTGGCTTTGTTGGAGTGGGTGTGGTTTTGTTGGAGGAAGTGTGTCACTGCAGGGGCAGGCTTTGAGGTTTCCTATGTATAGGATACTGCCCAGTATCTCAGTCAACTTCCTGTTGCCTGCAAGATGAAGGACTCTCAGCTCCTCCAGCCTGCACGCTGCCATGCTCCCTGCCATGATGATAATGGACTGAACCTCTGAAGCTGCAGGCTGCCTCCTCAATGAAATGCTTTCCTCAGAAGAGTTGCTGTGGTCATGGTGTCTCTTGACAGCCATAGAAATCATAACTAAGACAGGCACCTGTTGCAAAGAGAGGACTGCTTGTTCATCCCGGCTGCCCAGCTAACTTAGCCCCGAAATAACCACACAGAAATTGTATTAATTAAATCACTGCTTGGCCCATTAGCTCTAGCCTCTTATGGCTAACTCTCACATCTTGAGTTAACCCATTTTTATTAATCTGTATATCACCATGTGGCAGTGGCTTACTGAAAAAGATTCAGCATGTCTGCTGCTCCTGCCCAGACCCGCTGAGTTAGAACCCGTACTTGGTGAGAGTCCCACAAGTCTGGTGCCGTTCACTTTCGGGTAGCAGCCACATACAAAGGGTTTGTCAGAAACCCTTTGTCTCGTCTCTTGCTCCACTGGCCTTCCCTCTTGCCACCAAGTCGATTTGCCCCATAGTTGCTGCTGATTCTATCACTGATAGCAGAACAGTGTTTCCAAGCTTTCATTAGAGAACAGGGACCAGACACTCTGCAGGAACCTTCCAGGCTTCCCGTACCAGATTCAGACTACTGAGGCATGAGGCCTTGTAGACTGAGGAACTACCAGTTGTCAGCCCTGGAGCCCATGACAATCAGGGTGAGGAGCCTGGCAGCAGGCAGGCAGGCAGGCAGGCAGGCAGGCAGGCAGGCAATGGAGCAGTAGCTTAGAGCTTATATACGGAGACAAAAACCATAGCGCAGAGAGAGGCACACTGGGAATGGCACAGGCTTTTACAAACTCAAAGCCCACTCCCAGTGACACACCTACTCCAATGCCACACCTAATTCTTCCCAAACAGCTCCACCAACTGGGGACCAAACATTCAACTATATGAGCCCATGCCAGCCATTCTCATTCAAACCACCACCACCATTGTGTGTGTGTGCATGTATGTACAGAAAACCATATATACGGTGGTTTTGAATGAATACACATCCTCTTTGTTCTGTTCCCTTAGACAACCCCGACTAAAACAAATTATGGTGGTGGGAACGGGGCTGGGGAAACAGAACTGTAAGGCGGAGCTCTTAGAGAGCTTAGTGGTCACCGGGGAATCCTCTAGCAGTGAAACTGAGTCTTCAGCGGGACGGAACCTACGGTCACTAACGACTCCCCGACTAGTATGGAGAGCCCTGAAAGTCCCTGGTGTGCATGAATTAAAGAACTTACCAACTGTGTACAATGATCCCTATTCACCTGCTGTGAGGGGTGTGGAATTCGGTGACTCTGCGTATAAAGCCTTTGAACATTTCTGGAAAAATAAGGAACATAACAATGGTGGTTATTTTAACATCTTTGGAAGAATTTATAAAAGAAAACAACTGAGCTTCGTAATAAAACTGACCTGCTCCAGACGCACATACACAACCTAATGGTCGCTAAGTGTGCCCTGAAGGAGAGGCTTCTCTCCTGCAGCCTTACAGCTCACGTTACAGAACCGAACCAAGCCTTCATTATACAGTCAGCTGGAACCTGGTAGTTACCTGGTCTTTGCAGCTGATGCTTCAACAGAGTCCCACAATAGCTGTCTCTCGTGGAGGAGGGGGCACCACAAAAGGCAATCACTCGGTCTACAAGGCAGGGAGTCTCCAAAGGCTCGATCTGGTGCCCCTGGTCCCTAGTCCATGGTGCAAACCTGGGAATGCTGGCTCTGCTGTTAGCGTAAGTTTCAGCAACAGTAGCAACAGCACAGATGAACTCATTCCCAAGCAGGAAGGCTAAGAGGACAAAAAGCAAAATTATCTTCCTTTCTGACATCCCTTTTCATCCGAGTTGCTACCAGAAGGTATCAACTATAATCAGGGCAGGCCTTCCCACACCAGTCAAGGCAAGTCAGGACACTCTTCAGGTCAGGATCTTTATTCAGGGGCTTCTAATTTGTGGCACGTTAACCCTGAAACCAGCTATAATACCTGGCATGCATGAAGCCCTGGGTTCCATCCCGACCACCGGATGAACTAGGAATGGCAGCCCACACCTCTAATGACAGTGCTCAGGAAGTAGAGGCAGGAAAATCAGAAATTCAAGGTCATCCTCATTTCCAAAGTTGGCCTAAGATCAACACGGGCTTCTCCAAAAAGTGCCGTCAGTATTTGGGAGGCTCTTTAAGGAACACAAAATTTCAACCACTTCTTACTTTAACTTTTGAGGCTTCTGGGGGTGGGTGCCAAGAATCTGACTTTTGTTTCTTGAAGAACTGTGATACAAGGAGCCTGTAGGATGGAGGACCAGGGACCCCAGGAGTGACCCCAGGAGTGACCCCAGGAGCTTTAAGTTGCTGTTCCTCTTGTTCTGTCTTGAAAGCTTCCGACCTTGTGCTGTGATTCCTAACTTGTCACCAAGGCAAAGGCTCCCACTGTTTGTGTCCTTCCACAGCAGGGCACACTCCATGCAGCCAGGCTGATTGGCACGGACACTTCACATGCGTGTTTGTGAGTCATAATGGTGATTTTGTTCATTTTTTTCCTTTTTCTTTTAGCTTCATGGAACAGACACAGAGAGGCCTGAGCCGGCCCCCTCCTGTCCCCGCTTCCCAGCCCAGGAAGAGAAGGACATCGGTGCGATCTTTCTTTTCCAAGGTCAGATACCCGTGTCCCTCCCCACCACGATGTCACCACGGTGTAAGATGTGCACCTGCTTGCTCTGTGCTAGACCTGCTTTGCCTGGGCTCCTTCCGGGAGCCGTGTAATAGCCGTGTCATGACTTCTTTCAACAGGGATAGAGGGTGCTTATGAGAAGTTGAAATGAGAAGGATTCAGCTTGCGGCTAACTCAAAAGGAACTGTAACAAATACTCAGAAATAGCGATGGTGAAAAGTTATAAGGTCTTCTACACAGTGCTGAGCAAACAGCCTGATCTGGACCTGGACCCTGCATCCAATCCTATTGCTTCCTGAGGATGGGGCTAGCTTTGTCCTTGGTTCTCTCTCTCTCTCTCTCTCTCTCTCTCTCTCTCTCTCTCTCTCCCTTCTGGTTTGTATGCAGGTGCTTTCTTGTCATGGTGCACATGTGGAGGTCAGAGGACGATCTTGGTCTGTCCTCACCTTCCACCTCTTTCGAGACCAGGCCTCTCTTTTTGCTGCTCACCACATAGCAGCCATCTCACGCACCTTGGGATTCTCCTTCTCCCATCTTGCCATAGGAAACTTGGATTATAGACAGGCGCTATTGTGCCTGGCTTTACATGGGGGCTCAATCTCAAGTCTTTATGGTGGCATGGGAAGTGTCTTACCCATCATCTCCCTGGTCCCCAGTTGGGAGCTTTCATCGTCTGGGATCTGATTCTAATGTGGGCTGCCTAGTTCTGTGCCCTGAAGAACACTGGTGCCTTCTTGTCATTGGCGCTCATCTGTTCTGGGGGCGGGGCAGCTCATCTGATCATGAGAAAGGTAGCCTCTATCTTGATCTATCTTCTATTTTATCTATATCTTATCTCTTGTCTTACAGTTACTTAGTATTTAGTTTTAGAAGTACAGAATTTTGCGTAGAAGCACAGTGCTTCCCCCATTGTGTTGTTTTTGCCTTTTCTGCTTCATCTAATGAATTCAGATGTTGGGACAACCTCCAAATGTCCTGAAAGGTTTACATATGTGTAATTGATATTTTTTGAGATGTTGCCAACTGAGTCACATGCTAGTGAGGGGTTGAGGTAGGTGACTATTGAGAAAGGTCTCTCAGGATTTATCATATTGCTGGATGGAGAGGCAGGGACATCAGCCTGACTGCAGAAGAATCAAGACAGAATTGGAAGAGGGGAATTGGAGAAAGCAGGTATCATACGAACATGTCATTCATGTTTGTTTATTTTATTTAGTTAAAAGGACAGCAGAAGGATGAGAAGGGCTTGGAGGAGGAAGATGGACAGAGAACTTCTCAGAGAGGAGAAATAACAACATAGCATACACTAGAAAAGGGACCTGTGTCTCAAGGACAGTCCCCTTTCCTCTTAGCCTCTGCCACACAGTTTACTACTGTGTGTCTCCCCAGTCTCTCTCTCTCTCTCTCTCTCTCTCACACACACACACAGACACACACACACACACACACACACACACACACACAGAGGGGGCACGCGTGTTTACTTATCTTTAGTTCAGAAGAAAAGAAACTTGAATAGGAAAATAGCATTTTCTTTAGAGAGAGATGTTTGGAGTTGAGTTCAGAGTATGAGTCTGAGCCCTTTTGGATTGATTCTCTCTCTCTCTCTCTCTCTCTCTCTCTCTCTCTCTCTCTCTCTCTGTGTGTGTGTGTGTGTGTGTGTAGCATGCCAGATGTCAACTTCAGGTGTCTTCTTCATTGTGCTCCACTCTCACTAGACTGGATAGACTGGAGCTCACTGGTTTGGCTAGGCTGCCTGGCCAGGGAACTTTTGAGTTCTTCCTTTGTCTGTCTTCCCAGTGCTGAGATTCTAGGCATGCACTGCTACACCCAATGTCTTGTGTGGGTGCTCGGATCTTCATGTGTATCGAGCAAGCACTTTACCGACTGGACCATCTTCCCAGCCTCCGAATTAACACACTTTTGACCCACCACCCAGGTCTCTTGGAAACTGAGGCTGCGGAAGCAGGAACCTTTGAAGAATGTGTTTTTCATCTTGGCAGAAAGAGCCCGGGATCCTAATGCTAAAAAGCGCCATCTGGCAATGAGAGGCCTGGGCACCTTGGCCCGTGAAGCCCCTGACAAGGTAGGGGAGGTGGAGTTGAAACAACCTTCCTAAGACTCTGAGCCTGCGAGGCATGGAGTCCCCACAGCTGGGGCAGGTGCCCATGGATTGCTATCACTGTAACAACTCACACAGACCTAGCGGTAAACAGTGCTATCTGTGTTGGGGGCCTTAGTATGAGCTGGATCTGTAGCTCAGGATCTTGCAAACCACTGTTGGCTAGACTGTGGCTTCCAGAAGCTCAGGGTACTTTTCCAAGAATGGCTTTTTGCAGAACTGGCTCTTCCAATGGTAGATCTGAGGTTTCTCTTCCCTTGCTGGCTGTCTGCTGGGGGCCACCCCCCTTTACTCAGGATCCACACTCTCAAAATATGCTAACCTGTCTCTTCAAGGTGTCTCTCACTCCTGTCGGCTCTATGGGAGTCTTGCATAATGTAGCTTAGCAACCAGGAGAGACATCTGGTTACTTCTGTCACTTCAGGCTAGAGGCAAGCCACCGGTTCTTTTTACTCAGGAGGATAGATTACGTAAGGGTGTGACTCACTCCAGGTCGTCCCAAGCACACCTCAGCTTTGTCGGTCTTGGGAAATGAAGAAGGACTGAGACAGGCTCACACTGTTCTCCTTGAGAGTCTAAATGATTGTCTCAGAATGTTTGTTTGTTTAGTGAGAACCACTTTCATACTCTGTCCTTAGCACCTGTCCACAGGGATACCATTTTATGTCCTCTCCACTACAAAGACACCCAGCTCTCTGAAGGGCCCTAGAATACTCTTGTCCACCCTCTCAGCTCTTGAAGTACTTCACCAGCTCCATGACCCAGAGGCCTTACTCCTGTTTGTCCTTTCTGTTCTTCGAAGACCTGGGAGGGCTCTTGGGCTGGATTACTAGAAACATTTGTATTTGAATAAGAGTTGGTAGCAGATTCAGAAGAAAGTGTGAGCATGTAGCATACACACACACACACACACACACACACACACGGACGGCATGAACACAGAGAGAACTGCTTGTGAGGAAGGAGGGGAGCAGCAAGACAAGTGGGGGAAGGGAGTGTTACAAGGAGCAGGGCCCCTGTTTATCCCTGCCACCCAGCTAACTTAGCCCCTGAAATAACCACACGGAAACTATTAATTTAAACACTGCCTGGCCCATTAGCTCTAACTTCGTATTGGCTAACTCTTACATCTTAATTTAACCCATCTCCATTAATCTGTGTATTGCCATGTGACTGTGACTTACTGGCAAGATTCTAACCAGAGTCCATCTCAGGCAGAAGATTCATGGTGTCTCTCATTCTGCCCTTCTTCCCAGCATCCAGTTCTGTCTTCTCTGCCTACCTAAGTTTTGCCCTATCAGGCCCAAAACAGTTTCTTTATTCATTAACCAATGAAAGCAACACATGAACAGAAGAACCTCCTACACCAAAGGAAGACGGGGAGGGTGGTGGGGTGGGGGGGATGAACATGAGCAAACAATGATATATATGCTAAAAAGCCATAATGAAACCCTATACTCCTTTTTACATTAACAAAGAGTATTAATTTAAAGAAGAAGGGAAAGACAGCTAGGGCCTCTCAATCCCAACTTGGGGCTACTGGAAGATTAGGGATGAAGTTGCTTTTTAATTTGAATAGTGTGTGTGTACGTGTGTGTGTGTGTGTGTGTGAGAGAGAGAGAGAGAGAGGTGTGAGTGAGAGGTGTGTGTATAAGTGTATGTGAGTGTGTGAGAATATGTGTATGTGGATGAGTGTGAGTGTGTGTGAGAGAGTATGAGTGTGTGTTTGAGTGTGTGATACTAATGTTTTTCCAACCTCTATAGCAGGTGAGAAAGTACAAGAAAGTTTTCCTCGCTCTCCTGGTGCACGGGCTGTATGACCCTGTGAGTTCTGACGTTATCCACGAGAGCATGAAGACTCTGACCATCATGCTGGGCAAGATCCAGGGCCAACGCCTGGGCTCCTTCTTCGTAGATATCACTCTTCAGGCCAGGACTCTATTGGATGATGTAAGTGAGAAGGGTAAGCATAAAATCTTGGGCTATGAAATTGTCCTGGGTTAGAAATGAGGATCCCAAACCTTTAGTCCCAGCAGAGGCAGAGAGAGGCAAGCCGAGCAGAGGCAGATCTCTGTGAGTTTGAGCTTTGCCTGGTCTACATAGTGAGTTTCAGGACATTAAAAAAAAAATTAAAAAAACACCTGTCTCAAAAAACAAAAACAAAAGGAAACGAGAACCTCGGATAGTATGTTTCTTAAGAGCAAGGTCTGCATCACTCACAATTTATGAATCAATTGTATTGAGAGGAGTTATGGGTGTGGTTATGGAGAACAAAAGACATGCAGACCCAGTCACTCCCTTTTGAGGAACTTTCATGTCAATAGGGAAGTGAACATGTGCAGTAGTGATGACGACAGTGTTGATGGTGATGCCAGCCGGTGCTCAGTGCTCCCTTCTACAGTGATGA